ACACACACACACACACACAGACCTCTGAATCTAGTGGCAGGTTGTCTTGAGAGAAAGAGGAAAAGGAGGATTCCTAAATCACTTTCTTCCTTTCTTGCCCCATTTTCTTGTAGGGTCTGGCAGGTCCCCCAGGGAGGGAAGGTGCCCCAGGCCCCTTGGGGCCACCTGGACCACCTGGGTCAGTGGTGAGTAGAAATGCCCCAATGCCCTGTGTGTCGGTCCACATGAGGAGTTATGATGGGGATTAAGCATCACATCGTCATTAAGCATCACTCAGGTGGGGCTGAGAGTGTGTGTTTTAAGGGCTACAGGATCTTCACCTTGCTCTAATCTACAGGGTACTCCCGGGGCCTCAGGACTCAAAGGAGACAAGGTAAATGGAATGCTGGTTCTCTCCTGTGCCCTGTCACTCCCTCCCATGACTCTCTGTCCTCCACTGAGTCCCCTTATTTACCCCTAGTGTCCTGTTCTTCTCTAGGGAGACCCTGGAGCAGGGCTGCCAGGTCCCCGAGGCGAGCGTGGGGAGCCAGGCATCCGGGTACGTATGTCCTCTCCACAGCCAGGGCCACTGCCCAGGAGCCATATCATAGCTCCTTTCATCACAGCTCTTACCTTGGATTCCCAACCTCTGAGTCAATGAGCCTAATGTTACCTTTCAGGGTGAAGATGGCCACCCTGGCCAGGAAGGACCCCGTGGACTCATGGTGGGTCCCCTTGGGAAAAGCACCAGTGGTGTGAATTCAGCCCCTTACTTGTCTCCTCTATGCAGCCTGTCCCAGCCCTTTGGTTCTCCTTGTCTACTTTGGCCCTTTCTGTTTCCCCCTCTGTCCCTCTCTGTCTTGCTGCCTGCTCACTAGTCCCCCCAAATTCTCATAGATCATAGTCATCTTTCATCTTTTATACAGGGGCCCCCAGGCAGCCGGGGTGACAGAGGGGAGAAGGTAAGAATGTGGGGTCCATTGGGTGGTGATGGATCTTGTAATTCAAGATTGGGGTCCTCCAAGCCTGGGTGGGACTCACATTCTTCTTTCCAATAGGGTGATGCTGGCACCACAGGACTTAAGGGTGACAAGGTGAGTGTGGACATGGGGGAAGGCAGGAGTAGAGGACTAGGGTGTTCCTGACTCCCCTGACTGCTCCTTGCCCTTCAGGGTGATTCGGCTGTGATTGTGGGGCCTCCAGGACCACCAGGTGCCAAAGGGGACATGGTGAGTGGGTCTGGTTTATGTGTAGACTGAGTCTCTCTTGGGTGCAGGAGGGGCTCTTGTGGGCTGGCTAAGGCCATCTGAGAAGTCAACCTCTCAGAAAGTGAGGGGCCTCCAGCCCCTGACTCTGACTTCTCAAACCGGACCCAGGGTGAACGAGGGCCTCGGGGCATAGATGGTGACAAAGGACCTCGGGGAGACAGCGGGAACCCTGGCGAAAAGGTACAGGGAAGAGGGTGGGTATTCTACATGGGGTTCTGTAGGCTGTAGGGATTCCCCCAGAGGTAAGAGAGTGCAGGAGGGGACTTTCTAGGGGTCCTCTCCTAGGAAGGGGGAGGGCTATAGTGACCCTAAGTGGTAGCTTAGAGGATGGGGGCTCTAGTGAGGGCTCCAGGGCCTCGGCAGACTTTGGCTCTATGAGGGCCTGTATAGACAGAAAAGGGGCTCATTGGGTGTTAGGATGCTCCAAATGGGATTAGAGATACAGAATAAAAGGGAGCAGTAAGAGTCTAGGGGTCCCAGGACAAGAAATGAGCTGCTTTGTCAACTATAGCCCTAATTCTACCCTGCTGTGGCATGGACAGAAGGAATGGAGTCTCTAGGGGTGCTCAGTGTAAGGGACACTGAGGAGCTTTGCCCTGCACCTGGCTGGTTCCAGTCATACTCCTAGCCTCCAGCCTGATTTGTCCATATCCTGGTCACTCCCACAGGGTACCAAGGGAGAGCCTGGTGACAAGGGCTCAGCCGGGTCGATGGGAGCTCGAGGACTCACAGGACCTAAGGCAAGCCCCACCCCAGGCTCAGCTGTGTGTCACATATGTCTGTTCATGGGTTGCTTGAGTGTCAGATGGTTCCTGGTTTCCTTGTTGTTGGCCACTTTTGTGTTCACACAGGATCTGTGTGTAGCCTGAGCCCTGGTCACAGGGTAGCCACATGGCTATATGTGCAGATAGGCTGGCATGGGGCACAGTCATATTTAAGGGTTCCCCTGCAATCTCTCCCCTCAGGGTGAGCCTGGTGCTGCAGGAATCCCTGGTGACCCGGTAAGATGTCCCTCATTCCCATGGGGACCCCTTGTCCCCACAGGGACCCCATCTCCACAATGGTCTTGCCCACATAGCCTTTGACTTTACGGTGACCTCTTGTCTCATGATGTCTTCCTGCTACCCAGGGGCTTCCTCTTCCACACTAACCCTCTATGATAGTGACCCATGCCCATGGTGACCCTTGTTAATGCCCTTCCAGTGCCTCTGTTCTCCAGTGCTGACTGTCACCCCATAGTGTTCCCTGCCTGAAATCCAGAGTGATTCCCTTTGATCCCTCTCTGACGTCCCTTGACCCCCCTTGACCCCATGTCTACCCTTTCCCTCCCCAGGGAGCCCCAGGAAAGGATGGAGCCCCTGGTTTCCGAGGAGACAAAGGAGATACTGGTTTCATGGGTCCCCGGGGCTTCAAGGTGGGAAGGGGATTTTTTTTTTTCTCCACTCAGAAAGGCCTGATGTTGGAGGGTGAGGGACTTAGGGGGTCAGATGTTGGGGTACCTGGGGATGAATGTGAGGTGTTAGATCAGAGGTTGGAGTGTCTACAGTCAGTGGGAGGGTTGGTTTTAGGATCAAGGATAGGGTGAGGTGTCTGGAAGTTGTTTTCTCACCTGCCTTTTTTCCCTAGGGTGAACGTGGGGTAAAGGGAGCCTGTGGCCTTGATGGAGAGAAGGGAGACAAGGTACAGTTGTACCAGGGGATGTGGGGCCATGAGGTCTGGGATTCAAGGCTGATCCCTCCACCTGATGCCTACAGGGAGAAGCTGGTCTTCCAGGCCGTCTTGGTTTGGCAGGACGGAAAGGCGAGATGGTGAGTATGGGGCAAGCCCAGAATAAGGGAGGGGCAGTTGGGTCAGGGCCAAGCTCATGGTTTTTTTCCTCCAGGGAGAACCTGGTGTGCCAGGACAGTCTGGGGCTCCTGGCAAGGAGGGTCTGATTGGTCCCAAGGTACAGGGTCCCTTGGCAGTGGACACGATGGGGGTTCAGGCGGGGGCAGGGATGTTACAATAGGGTCGTGAAGGTTGAGGGTCAAGGAAGGTTGTGGAGGGTTGGGACCCTAGGAGTGGTGTGTTTCAGGGTGGGTTGGATCATAGGGGAGAGTTAGCATGAAAGGATAGAAGGTGGGGAAGGGGACTCATGTGCATCAGGGCAAGAGGTTGTAATGGGATTGGGTTATAGAGATCATAGTTGTGGGCATTAGTCCAGGGGGCTCATGGGAGTTCAGGGAGGTGCAGGAGCTGAGGGAGGTCAGAGTAGAGTGTTTCTCATGTTTCTTCTGTACCCAGGGTGACCGAGGCTTTGATGGACAGTCAGGACCCAAGGGTGACCAGGGCGAGAAAGGGGAGCGGGTAAGTTGAGGTCAAGGTCATGTGAATTGAGGGGAATGGATTTATCTTTAGGGGCTCTGATCACTAACTTTGTCTTATCTCTCCAAAGGGGCCCCCAGGAATTGGGGGCTTCCCAGGTCCGAAGGGCAATGATGGCTCTAGTGGTCCCCCAGGGCCACCTGGCAGTGTTGGTCCAAAAGGCCCTGAAGGGCTTCAGGGACAGAAGGTAAGGGTCCCCAGTTCTGACTCCTAAATTCTGAACTGCCCTACCTTTTTTTTTTTTTTTTTCTGTGCTGGGATTGAACCCAGGTCCTCACACATGCCAGGCAAACACTCTACCACTAAGCCACATTTCAGACTTCCTTGCCCCTCCTACCTCTCTGACTTCTGGACCTATAACTTATAATCCAACCTCTGAAACTATGATCCCTGACTTAGCTGACCTCTGACTCCCACTGTCTCTGACCCTGATCACTTGGTCCTTATGTCTGACAGGGTGAACGAGGTCCACGTGGAGAGAGCGTGGTAGGGGCTCCTGGGGCCCCTGGGACCCCCGGTGAGAGAGGGGAGCAGGTGAGTGGGATTTCCTGAACTTTAGTCCAAAATTGGGTCACCCTCTGGTATCCCTGAGACCTGAAGCATGGTTTCATCTGTTGCCCATAGGGGCGGCCAGGGCCCACTGGCCCCCGTGGTGAGAAGGGAGAAGCTGCACTGACAGTGAGTGTGGGGCTTGTTGGGCTGGGGCCCTGATTCTGTATGCAGTGCCCTGACCCCCTGAGCCCTGGGCTCCTGACTAGATATGGTCTCTCCTTGAACCCTCTTTATGTGCCCTGTGTCACTCCTGTGATTCATGGGTTCTTCATGATCCTTGTGGTCTCATATTTCCAGGAGGATGACATTCGGAACTTTGTGCGTCAGGAGATGAGTCAGCATTGTGGTGAGTGGGCCTGGCCTGTGGTCTCCTGGACCCCATCTCCTCTCCATCCAAGCACACCTACATAAGGGTCAGCAGGTCCCAAGGACTTATAAGGGACAAGGGTCAAGGGTCAAGGAGATGGGTAGGGATAGTTGGATAACACAAAAGGACATACACGCTGTAGGACAGAGATGCTGATAGAACTTTCCTCAACAGAGGGAGACACACTGGCAATGTGGGTGGCCACTGAGTGTTCTGAATGTCCAGCATGGCCATGTATGGAGAGGGCAGAAGAGGGAGCAGAGCTAGTTCCACAGGGCCTCATATAAGCAGGGCAGTGATGACCCTGGGGGCCACCAGAGTGAAGCTGTCTTTTCCTGTTTTGTGCAACTGCTTTCACTCTATGTGCCTGTCTGTTCCTGATTCTTATCTTTCCCTCTGTCTCTTGCCCTTTGCTGGCCTGGTCCCAACTTCTCATCCCTGTTTCCTTCTTCTCCTCTGCCTTTCTTAGTTTCCTTCTCCTTCCTTCCCTCTCTCCACTTCCTGCCTGCTCTCTCTTCTCATTCTTTTTGTCTGTCACCGTCTCTCTTGCTATCTCTGTGCACTTCATACCCTCTTCCCCCCACAACCCCCCCCACCCTCCATGTGTGTGTCTTTGCAGGTCTGTCTTCTTTCCCCACCTTCCCATTTTTCTCTTTGTTTCTTGCTCTCACCCTCATTGTCTCTCTTTCCTTTTCTGCTCCTCTAGCCTGCCAGGGCCAGTTTATTGCATCTGGATCACGTGAGTAGTTTTCTATGCCCAGAAGTTTCTTCACCTTAGGCCATGCCCTGCCGGATCACCGGGTCCTCTTATCAGGGCTGTGGCTGGGGTGGCTGCCCATGATAACCCCACATGTCATCTCCTTCTCTGTGCTCCAGAACCCCTACCTAGTTATGCTGCAGACACAGCTGGCCCCCAGCTCCACCGGGTGCCTGTACTCCGCGTCTCTCATATAGAGGACGAAGGTGAGGATGACTGGACCCATGGGGTATTGATGGGTGGGGAACAGATACGCACATGGGTGCTTATGCATGCAGGGCACATGGAAACCACAGGGTCTCCATGCATGGAAACTTGTGTGCACATGGGGGAAATTAGTGCTGCCTACTCTGCCCCAGGCCTGCAGCCACCCCTTCACAGCACATCCTAACCTTGTCTGCAGGCCAGGTACCCCCTGAAGATGACGAGTACTTTGAGTATTCTGTGGAGGAATATCAGGACCCTGAAGTTCCTTGGGATGGTGATGGTGAGAACCAAGGCCAGGCCCAGAGGGGTTCAGGGCTGGACAGGCAGAGCTGATCCCTGCTGACCTCACACTGACCCCCAGTCCCTCTGATTCCCACTATACTATCCCTGCTGACCTCACCCCTTTTAGTCCCAGACCCCTGTTCCCTGCCACTGGATGAGGGCTCCTGTACTGCCTACACCCTGCGTTGGTATCATCGGGCTGTGCCAGGTGGCATAGGCTGTCACCCATTTGTCTATGGTGGCTGCGGAGGGAATGCTAACCGTTTTGGGACTCGTGAGGCCTGTGAACGCCGCTGCCCACCCCAGGTGGTCCAGAGCCAGAAAACAGGTAGGGACCTAGCCCCACCTCAGCAGGGTACTGGGCACTGGACCTACCCAGATCAGATCACTGGTGATGGGCCCTGGGGTCAAGGTTCCTGGGTCAGAAGCTTCCTCAGACCAGGGAGACCTTGGACAGATCCCCAGATTGAAGAACTGGATACAGAACCCCAGATATGGAACCCCAGCATGGTCACTTTTCATGTTCCCTTCTTTAAAGTCTTGAGTGTAGGTCCTTCTCTTGAGTCAGAGCCCCGCCTTCTCCCCTGTGGATGCTTTGTCACATTTCTCTGTGCCCTACATGTTGGGTAAGGCCTACATAGAGGGTTGAAGACCGTTTTTCACCTGCTCCCCTCCAGGTGCTGCCCAGAGCTAAGACCCAGATGATGAGCTGATGATCAGCGTCCCCTGGAGGCATCAGGGCTCAGTAGGGCCCTGCTGTCCTCCCTTTGGTGCTAAGGCCTGTGTGCACGTGAGCGTGTGTGTGCATGTCTGCTATTTCAGTTTCAGTGACTTGGTCCTGTGGGTCTAGCCTTCCCCCCTGTGGACAAACCCCCATTGTGGCTCCTGCCTCCCTGGTAGATGACTCACTGTGGGGGGTGGTTGCGGGCAGTGGATGTGACTGTGTCTAACCCGCCCCTTGACCCAAGCCTGTGATGCCATGGTGCTGATTCTGGGGGGCATTAAAGCTGCTGTTTTAAAAGGCCCTTGTTGTGACTATTTGAGGAGATGGGGGTGTTGGGAGTTATATTTTTCCCTAGGGTGGGGGTCAGCATTATTCTGCATGAGTACAGAGTCCTTCTGCCCAGCTCTGGTCATTTTCCTGTACCCTCAGTCCCAAGCTTGTCCCCACAAAGGAGTGGATGGGGTAGGAACTAAAGATGTGTTCACTGACCTCCAGGAGTGGATGAGTCATAGGTGGGGGGGCTGCCTCGTGCCAGGAAATATGTCCAGCTCCCACCCCAGGGGGCTGGGGGAGATAAATGAACCCTGAAGTGGAGTAGAGGGTCAGACCACAGGACAGCACTGCCTGGGCCCAGCTGCTGCAGCTCTAATCTAACTCCAGAGGAAGCTGGCAGAGGTAGGGCTGGTATCGGGTTGGAATGGGAGGGGTCTTAGGGACTGAGTGGACCTTTGGGTTAGTAGAGATCTCTGGACCTGGGAGGCTCTGGGGTGTCTGACTGCTCTGCTTCAAGGGCCTCCATTCCTGTCCTCCTTCCTAGGTCAGCTGTGAACTCCCTTGCTCAGAACCTGTCTCCCTTTTGTCTCTGGGTTTTTCTCTGATTTTTTTTTTCTTTTCTTCTTTTTGTTTGAGATGGGGTTTTGCTAAGTTGTTTAGGATAGCCTAGAACTTGCTCTGTAACTCAGGCTGACCTCAAAGTCAAAATCCTGCCTCAGCTTCCTGAGTGCTGAGATTACAGATGCAATTCTATCACACTGACTTATCTCTGAATCTTTATTTCCATCATGCTGTCACTGAGATAATTTCTGCTCTTGTCTTATCTTTTTCTTTGTCTCCTTCTGCCTCCATCTCATTCATCTACCTCTTCCTCTCTACCCTCTCATCTCTCTCTGGATCTCTCTTTCATTCTCTTTGGGTTTTTTGTTTGTTTGGATTTTTTTTTGTGGAATTGAGATTTGAACTCAGAGCTTTGTGCTTGCAAAGCAGGCACATTACTATTTGAGCTATACCTCTGGTCCATTTTTCTCTAATTATTTTGGAGATGGGGTCTCAAACTATTAGCCAGGGTTGGCATTGAACCTCTATCCTCCTGATCCCTCTATCCTCCTGATCTCAGCCTCCAAGTGACTAGGAGTACAGGTGTGAGCCACCAGTACCCAATTCTCTCGTTCTCTTTTTCCGATCTTTCTGTCTGCCTGGCCCCCTTCTCTGTCTGGCTTTGTCTTGATTTTCTCTGGCTTTCTCCCTACCTTCCTTCTTTCCTTTCTTTCTTCCTTCCTCCCTCCTTCCCTTCCTCTCTCTCTTCCTTTCTTTCTTCCCTTAATTATTTATTTGATTGATTATTTATTTTGGCAGTTCAGAGGTTGAACTCAGGACCTTGCATTCGCCAGGCAGGCTCTCTACCAGTTGAGCCAATTCCCCAGGTTTTTTTTTTTTTTGGATAAGGTCTTGCATTTTTGCCTGGGGTCACCTTGGACCATGCCTACTTTGTAGCTGGGATTACATGCATATACTACCACATCTGACTTGTTTGTTGAGATGTATTCTCTGGGATGGCCTTGAAAGGTGATCCTCCTGGTCTCTGCCTCCCAAGTAGCTGGGATTACAGGTAGATGCACCACCATGCTCAGCCCCTCTGGCTTTCTTCTCATTTCTTCATCTCTGTATCTGTCTCTTCTGTCCCTGGCCCGGACTCATTAATTTTTCTCTGACTCTTCATTCTCTCTGCTCTTATCATAGGTCTCTATCCATGTGTCATAGTTGATCAGAGCCCCTCCCTTGAGCCTGTTTTCTCCTTACAGCCTGTCCACATGATGACCAGGTGTGCTCTGCTGGTGCTGATGGTCCTGTTGCTAGGCAGAGTCCTGGTTGTCCCAGGGAACCCTATCCCAGCCTCCCAGCTCTTCCCTCAGAACAGTCCTCAGACCACTCCCTGCCCTGTGACCTTGAGAGCCCCTTAGCTACTACCACAGTCCCCTCAACTGCTTGGAGCTATCCCAGCCTTGGCCCCCGCCTTGGCCCACGCATCACCCTCTCATTGGATGTTCCCCTCGGCCTCCTGCGGATCTTATTAGAACAGGCCAGGACCAATGCTGCCAGGGAGCAGGCTGCCACCAACGCCCGCATCCTGGCTCATGTTGGCTGATGCTGAGCTTGAGGGAGGGGACCATATGATTTGAAGACCTGGATGGGAAGACAACAGGTCGGAGTACTGACTGTACCTGGGTACCACCATATTGAACCACTGCCATTTCACATCTAAGAGCCCCACAGTGTCTGGACAGCTTGGACATCACCTTGTCAGGCCACTGCCATATGGAGTCTTGACACACTTATGTACCCCACAGACTGGACAGCTTGGACACTACTATGTAAGGTCACTGCTATGTGGACTCCTGCCATGTCTGAGTACCCCACAGTCACAGAGAATCTAGACGCTGTCACGTGTGGTCACTGTTATGTTATGTTTAAGAGTCAACACAGGACGAGACCAGCACTGCCTCTGCAATCCACAGGTCTGGGTCTCCCCCATTGGCCACCACACAGGGAAGAGGTGGCTAAGGGTCACACGCATGTTTTGTGCTCTCTGAGGAAGCATCGCACCCACATGAATGGATCTTTCAGGGGCATCTCCAGACACAGATAGTCAGACATGGAAAGTTTGACTATGGCAGTCTTGCCTTGTGTGTGTATGTGCATGTGGCCAAGTTTGTGTGTACTGCTTGTTATAGGTCTCTGACAGCTGTGTGTGTGAACAAGAGTGGAGGTTTAAGAGAGGACTGGGAGAACAAAGTGCTTGTCCCCAAACTTGCCTGAAATACACACAACTCACAGCTGGACACTATTTCACTTACACCTCTGGACTCTCAGACTTGGCCCTGGGACATACATGGCTCAGGGAAGAGGAGGTTCAGGCAGCTGGGGCTCCAACTCAGCACTACCCTTTCCTCACTGAATTGTCACTTTTTTGAGCCTCAAGTAGTGATGCCACCAAGCTTCTTGTGGCATGGAGTAACATAGTGTACATGAAGGTTGTGGCTACAGGAGGCACTCAATAAATGTCAAATGGTTGAAGGACAGGATGAATGACAGTCACCCAGTCATGGGCACCCAGGCAGTGACACGAGGACTGAGTCACACCTGGCTTCGGCGCCCTTCCATTTGTCTTCCAGCCCCACCTTCTTTTAACTGACCTGGTCCTTTATTTATTTTGGAAGGTAGATTTTGCCTATTTCACACCCCACACTCCATCACTGGGCTGGATCTACAACTAACTTTCCGGTAGGAACTCTGGACAGTGTAAATGACCCTGGCTAGAGACAAGGGCAGACCCTGGGCAGTATGAGCAGCCCTGTCAGGAGAGGCAATAGTGGCCAAGTGTGGCTGCCTGCCTGGATGGGGGCCCATCAACCTCGCAATGGAAAGCAGCCGTGGGGGGGCGGGCCTAGGATGACTGGGGAGGCGGGGCTGCTGTCCTCCAAGCCTGCTGGAGGGCGGGGTTACGCTACCCCTCCGGAGCCACAGGGGGCGGTGGCCGGGGCCAGTTCCGAGGCAGGATGGACAGAGGCACGTTAGGAGGCAGCTCTCTGACCGATCCAGGGCCGTGGAATGGCAGGCAGGGTAGGCACGGGTCAGCATGGGGAGGGTGGGGATTGGGAAAAGACCTAGGGGTAGTGAAAGTGGTGCTGAAGGGAGTGTGAGGCAGTTAGGGGTCTCTTTTGGTATAGGGGTGTTCTGAGGGGAGCATCAGTCTGTCAGTGGCCTGGAAAGGAAGGGAACACTGTCTCTTCCAGGGGAGAGAGGGCTGGGCCAAGTGGTGGTGGGGGGGGGGTCTATAAATAGTGTCTTCCTTCAGCCCAGGGAGGGAAGGCCAGCTGGAGCTGCCTGAGGCCCTCCTACTCTGTCCCTTGCTGGCCTCCAAGAGGGCATGTTCAACTTGGTTCCCCAAGGAGTCACTCAGTTTAGGGAGTTTCTGAGGGTCAACTGGGAAGTTTGTCATATGGTGCTTACTGTGTGCCCTGAGCTTGTCTTGCTCATGGGCTCTTTCTCTGTGCCCTGGCTGATTCTGAGTTACTTTGGACACCTACTCTGTGCTCTGCTGGGCTGGAATCAGGAAGTACAGATCAGGGTTCCCAGGCTGCTTCTTACATGGCGCTATACCCCTTAGTTGGAATCTCACACTCTGGGTCCAGGGAAACACCGGGGACAGTCTTTCCTGGAAATGGCCAGGAAGGTGGAATTCCTGGGAACTCCCCCACCCCAGCAACAGCAGGATCTCCTTGGGTGGGAGAATATAGAGGAAGGGAGGCAGCAGAGAGAAACAGACCCTACTGCAGTCGGTCTGTCTCTGTACACAGGCCTGGATACAGGCTTGTTAGTATGTGTGCTTCTGCATGAACATCTGTGTATATGCACATGCATGCTTGTGTGCATTGGTGTGTGGGTTTCCATGGCATGCATGAAGGCCCTTGGGTTTTTATGCTGTGAACAGGGACATGTTGGTTCTGCCAGAACTGAGCAGCAGATTCAAACTGGGAAGAGTTTAAGCCTTAAGAGCTGAGGGTTGAGGACTTTGATTGACCCATGGTTTCTAGCCTGAGACATTGGGAGGAGGTCCAGTGGTTCAGTGCAGAGGGCACCCTGGGAGCTAAACAGGATCAGGCCAGCCAGGTTCATGGTGGGGAGAGGCTGAGCTAGCCTTGTTCACTCATGAGTGAACACTGACACTCAGCACACTCCTGTGCCTGGGAAAGGATAGTTGATGCACTTTGAGATGAGGAGGGAAAAACCATGAGGGCTGGTTATTCTACTGGGCATCTACTGATGCCAGGGAAGCAGGAAGCCAGAAGGGCAGATTTCAATGGAGTGAACATGCAAGAGCCAGGGTGTGGAAGTGAGAAGTAGAGCAATAATGCAAGGTGTGGGAGGTAAGGTTTTGAAGACTGGAAATTAAGCTGAGTCCTTCCTGCACTGTGGGCTAGCTCTGTGATCTCGGTTCCATCTCCCCATGTGGACCCTAAATTTCCTACCTAAGAAACCAAGCCATGGTAGGGGAGGTGGGGAATATCCTCAGAGAAGATGCAGACTCTAGCTTTGGGAAGGGCTCCTAGGCTCCTGATGTTGAACTATGGTCTCCTAGCAGGATATATAGACGTGAGAGGGTGTGTCTGGGTCAGCCCAGGGTCAGCTGGGGAAGAGTGGGAGGCACAGAACTGCAGCATTTCCTGGGAACCAGGCTCAGACTGTCTGGGTGTGGAGATAGCCCTGGCTTCTGCCTTGCCCTGCCCTGGCTACCCTTGGCTCCTAGCTCTTGACTAACATCAAGAATTCTGGGGAAGAGGAGAATGGGCGGGCCTAAGGTGGTGCTGGGTGCTTATGGACGTTAGAAATATTAGCCTCAGCAAAGAGTACTGGAGGTTGGGCAGGGTGTGTCCATGTGGCAATGAGGTTTCTGAGGCCAAGGTGGCCCCAAGATGGCCTTGGCAGTGGCCAGGAGACAAACAGAAGTGTTCACTGTGTTAGGAATAGAATGAGTGACTTTAAAGAAGTAGGGAGCAGATGGGTGATCACAAGGGGGGGTACCCTGCTCAGCAAGAGCCACCTATGGATGTGCTCAGAGGGTGGATATTGCAACAAGAGAATGAGGAAAGAGGAAATCGTGGACCCTGCCTAAGGCAGGGCATTCCCCTGGGTTGGCAGCTAGAGCTGATTTTAGGAAAGTTCCAAGTAGGCTTCCAGCATTGGATCTTCTGAACATTCATTCCTGTGAAGTGGCAAGACATCTGTGTCAGAACCATTGTAAGGATCCTTGCCAGGTTCCAAACAGGTGGACTGTGACTTGGAGGACTGACCCAAAGCAGGATGTAGCAGAAAGGACACGAGAGAGAGTGCGGCACTTACTGTGAATGAGGTCAGCTTTGTTCTCTATGCTCCTAGCTCCTGGTTGGCACACACTGGTGAGAACTTGAGGATGCCAGAACTCTGCCACAGGGATGTGATGGAGGACATCGCTAGAGGGCAGTGTGTTCCAGGTTCAAGCTATGTTGGTGGGAGCTGGAGCAGAAAGTGTACTTTGGGGAGGCGTGGCTGGCAGACAGAGGAGGCAGGCTCCTGTAGGGGTCGGTGATGGAGGCCAAACACACGAGAGTGAGCTAGGGGTTCATGAACTTCTGTTGTTTTTGGTAGTAGTGGGGCTTGAACTCAGGGCCTCACACTTGCTAGACAGGCGCTCTACCACTTAAGCCACTCTGTCATCAAGTTCCTGAACTTCTAGATCTCTCCCTTTCCCCTTTGCCCCAGCGCATTTTTAAAGACGGGAGGGATAAATAATATAATGAATGAGAACTTCTAGGTGTTTTGGAACATATTTCTCAGTGAGTGATATATTTAATCTACTACAATCTTGTAAGATTGATGATGTCCACACCTCGTTTTCCCGATGAAGAGACAGAAGCTGTTTCTTTTTTTTTTAAATGCACAAATTCATTACTTAAGTTATACTTGGGAAAAAATGAAATCCCGGAAAGAGAAATAAGATACTGCCAGGGCTTAGTGAGTCTCCAAATAAGTTGGTCACAAGATCCCGCCCATTTGCTTCAAGTGGGCAGGGGTTTAGCCCAAGCTCCCCAGCAGTCATCGCCAAGAGACACTATTCATTTTGCAGTTTGTCTTGTGTCTCTGTCCATGACATAAAGGAGCTTTTCCTGCAAGGTTGAGCGGGTAGTGTTCTTTGGGTCCACGCGGGACCAGGGATTCAGAGCAGGGCCTGGAGGACCAAGCTGAGGTTGATCGCCAGTAATTAGAGCCACGCAGGGATGCCAGGCTGGTCTTGACTTAACCCCGCCCTGCGGGTCACGCATGCCCCGCCCCATTGCACGAAAATCTTTCCCTCTTGGGGACCGGGAGGTTACTGTCATCAGGGAGTGGAAGCCGCGGGGGACCTCCGGGGCGGGGCTGCTGCGCTCTGGGCCGGTCCCATGGGTGAGCTCTATGCAAATCAGCTCAATAGCTTTAGGTGCAATGAGCTAGCACATCCGGGGCGGACCTACATAAATCCGGGCCTTGAGTGCCGGAAGAGTTGAGCATGCGCATTCTCGTTTCTGGGATGAAGGACGGGGAGCGCTTGGTCCAAAAAGAGGCGGTAGGCGAGTTGGGCACGCATAGTCGGAGGCCAGGCCCTCTTCAGTTGGGGTGGAGCCTAATCGTTCTGGGGTGGAGCCTAATCGTTCTGGGGCGGATCTGCAGGAAGATGGACAAGTGTTGTTGCGGCTAGAGGAGGGGCGGGGCCCGAGGGGCGGGACCTCGGGTGGCCCGAGGTGGCCTGGCAGCTTGGTCAGTAGCGGCGCAGTCCTACTCATCCCGGCCTGGGGATGGCGTCCCCACGGGAATTGACCCAGAACCCCTTGAAGAAGATCTGGATGCCATACAGCAATGGGCGGCCCGCCCTGCACGCCTGCCAGCGTGGTGGTGAGATGGGGTCCGTGGGGAGAGAAGAGCAAGATGCACCGGAATGAGTGGATGACAACGTGGGCGGGGGTCTCGGGTGGAGAAGAGGCAGGAAACAGGGGGGGAACCTGGAACAGGTGAGGCTTTCGTGACTGTTGGGAGGGATCCGGAGCAGGTAGGGCTGGGGACAGGTGAAGGGGTGGAAACAGTGGTGGGTAGAAGGTAAGTGTGGCAGAGCAGAGGTTGGGGACTGGTGCGTGAGGCCATCTCGTCTTGTTGGGGGATAGGTCTGACCACTATCACCTCGGGAGGGCTCTGGTTCCTTTGCTCCTCACTGTCCCCAGTGCCCAAATCCAGGGGAGGACTCTGTGGGCATGGCCCATTCTTCCCTCTTTCCTAGACAGAGAATGGACCATTGGTTTGCTTGGGAATAGCTGAGTAGTCCTAGGCGAATACCTTGGCCTCTCTGAGCCCACAACTTTCAAAGACCTAAGTATGGGCTACTCCTCCAGCAGGAGGACTGCCCCTGGGCCTCAAAACCAAGTTTTGGGAGGAACTTTAGAGAAGCACAATTGTGGTCAGTATAGAGACACTGAGAACACCACACCATGTAAGCATCCATGTGGGTTCATGGATGAATGGCAAAACTGGAGGGGTGAATGATCTAGGAGATATGTTGAAATTTGTGAAATTGTTAAGTGATTCACCTCTTCTGGGATTCTGGACCTTCAATCCATTTCCTTGGCTTTCTGCTTGTCTTCAAATGAGTCTGCAAGTTTTTTATTACCAGGGAAAAAGAAAAATTTGTCTTAGGAGTATCTGAAACATTGTAATGAATTTGCAACTCGGCAAAGCCCTCAGAGAACATCTAGTCCAACTGGTGGTAAAGATATGGAAATGGAGATCAGGAGATTGTGTAATGCTCCAGGGTCTCCCTGCACTCCTGACCTCTGTCTTGTGTGATAAGAGAGGGGAGAGTGCTCTGTGCTTGTGCTGCCAGACCAGTCTGAGACCATGATTTTGACCTTGGTGCAAATCTGGGGAGAGGTGTGTATCTCTGATCACATTGTGAGTCCTGATAGGGGGTGGCCATGAGCAGACTGAGTTCTTGTGGGTGGTGGCTCTGACCACAATGGAGGTGTGGTGGAGCCATAGATGTCCAGGATTCACATTCAAAGTCCTGAGGGAACTATGGCCGCAGCCTGGGCTGCTCTCCATAGGCTTTTCTTCTCTAGAAGGCTGTGGTCCTGACTAGGGGGTGGCTGCTATTTTTACATAAAGAGGAAGAAATGAGGACCTGGACTTTGGAGGCAGGAGCATTCAGACTCAAGCCACATCCTGGCTCAGCTTTGTGACCTTGGGCAAAGAGCTAAACCTCCAGGTCTTAGGTTCCTTATCTGTGGGATGAGATAGTCATCATCTTTGCTCCATAAAGTAGCTGGGATCCTCTAACAAGTAGGTCCTCAAAAAGTGGAATCAAGTCATTCCCTCATCACTACCATTCTTTCTTTGCTTCTCACTACATCAGAGTTGAGGTTTGAAGCATCAGCCTGAGCAAGGGGGAAGGGAGCTGAGGCCCCATAGCGGGGACCTGAAGCAGGGCCTGTATTTCTCCAAATTCCAAGGGTGGGATCAAAATCTGCCTCTGGCCTGAACAGAAGGGACTTGTGCCATCGTGGTGTCTCAGGGTATTGCAGTAGGTTGACCTGTGGGCTCACACCTTTCTGGAAAAGGAGGTGGCACCTGAGAGGCCAGAGATGAGACTTGGAGGTGTCCACATGGGGTTTAACCCCAGCCAAGGGTCCCAGAGTACAGTGGGGAGTGGGTAAGCAATAGATGACTGGTACCCACCTGTACAGCCCCTCTAGTTCCCAGTGCCTGCACCTGTGCAGCATGTTACCCTTTGCACAGTGAACTTGGGGCTAGTTGTTGACTGTAAGCACAGTAAAGACCCTGGGGGTACAGGATGTTCAATGATCACAGAACTTTGTGGGAAGAGTTGACAGTGTCCACTCCCAGTCTCTGCTGTCCACTTTTTCTCTGATGTCAAGTCCCTAGCTCCTCAGGGATGACTAAGGGATGTCCTGGTCTACCTCCACCTTCATATGCCATTAGCAATTCTGAGCCACACAAGAGTGCCTAGAAGCTCTTACCTTCTACATCATTGGCCTCTCAGCCCAGACTGAGGAGCTCTGGGGGCAGGTAATGAAGCGAGCACCCAGGAACATGGCAGAAAGGACACTATTTTCCTGATAGCGTTTGGCTTTCTCAGCCAAAAGGTGGCACAATACCTTCTGTGTGGGAGCAGAACTAGTGTGTTCACTGAATAACAGGAGAGATGACTTTCTGTCCTCTCTGAATGGGACCGCCATGCAATGTTGCTTTATTTTAGAACACTTCCTTCCCCAGCTTGACCCAAAGAGGTGGGAGCAGGTGCAATTCAGGATTCCATTCTGGAATCCACTCCAGGGATTTGTGGCTGGAAGTGCCAGGAAATAGGTGGGCAGGCACTGTCCATTGCCAGGCACATCTCAGGCCTCTTGACCCCTAGGGCTCCTACGGCCTTCAGCAGATTTACAGGAAAGGGATGAGAGGGAAGCTGTGTCGACATGTCTTCAGATTTCCTTCCGCATACGCTCTGTGTGTAGACAGTGTGCTGTCCTGTCCTGTTTGCTCAGTGATAGTGTCCTTGTGGGCTCAGGGTTGTAGTATGTTCGCTCCTCGTCCTGCTTCTATTTGTAGTTTCTCTACTGCTGGGATTATCTCAGTGTTTTGCTGTTGTAAGCACAGTTGCTATGAATATACTTGAACTTTGGTTTTCTGTGGGGTAATCTTAGGAGTTTATCTTGAGGAGCAGAGGTAATAGCTAATTTATTGCCTTGTTTTGTGCCCAGGCCTGATCTGTTGTCCTGACTGCCCACCTTGCATATTGGGGGATGGGGGAGGAGAATTCTGCCACTACTGCTATGGAAGGAGGCTATGGCCATGGGAGGAGGCCAGGGCCATCTCTGGGAAGATAGAAGTTGTGAAGAGGAGATACAGAACACCAATCCTGAGGACTTGGGAGTTTTCCTTGAGAGAGCAATGGAAGGGGGTGACTTCATGGGAGGGCAGAGGCAGGTGGGTCCCTCCTGTTTAGTGACTGATGCACTGCCTGTGGATTGCTTGAGAGCCCTGGCTACCCTGGCCAGGAGTTGTACAAACAACACAGACCCTGGCTATCTGCTGGCCCTGATGCTGCAGGACCTTGCCTAACTTTTTTTCCTCTCACCTTAGCCAATGCTGAGGTTTTTCTGAAAGTTTCTTCACTCTTGCTTGCCGTCAGTTCATCTTCCATGGGTCCCCACCTCCCCTCCCCTGCAGCTACCAGTTTAGGGCCTTTTTGCACAAAGGACAGGCACAGGAGTGATAGAGCCTCCACTGGCAAGCAGGACCTTTGCTTCTATGCAGGGCCTGCCTGGGCCTCCACACCCCAAGTCCCAAGAGCAGTTGATGCTGAAATAAGTACAACTGCATCCTTATCCAAGGCAGAAGGTACAGCTCCCTGGAAGTATCCATCTTTTCCATGAGGATAGAGATGGACCTCACTGAGGATTGTCATCCCATTTTACAGGTGAGGACATCAAGTCTAGGAGTTTCCAGTAAGTGTCAGAGTCAAGATAAGAACCCAGGCCTATCTGACTGCTGACTCCCGGGTAGAGCTATCCTTGGAGCCTATATGCTTCAAGGGAGACAACTTGAGAGAGTGCCTGGCCATCTGTCAAGGAGGGCTATTGAGTGAAGGCACTTGTAGCACCAAGTGGGCAGAGGAGGGCAGTGACAGTTTTCCACATCTTTTCATCCATCGGTCCGCTATGGTTTTACTGGCCTAAGGTCCTAAGGGTGATGAAAGGGAAGCTTTCTGAGGCTTTGAGAGGAGACCACATTTGGCTACCTTGAAAGCTGAGCTGTACCACATGAGGCTGGCAATTCTGTTGCCTTGGAGTCTGTCCTATGTGGCTGAGGCTCAGGGGAGCTGTGTTCAGGCCCTTCTCGCCTCAGCCTTGGTAACCTCTCTAGTTGGCATATGGGATGGTAGTGGCTGGGCTATCAGAGGGACTGTCCTTGTAGGCACTGGTCTAAGTCCACGAGGTCTCAGCCCTTTGTGGCCCTTACCCTAGTAGACTTCTAGAAGCCTCCCTGTTCCTGCCCATATTTCCTGAATACCATTGTTGGTGTGAGGCCTCTGGACCCTGAATGTACTGACACTGCAGGGTGCCCCAAGTGATCAGTCTGGACAGAGCAGAGTCATTAGTGAGGTGACCAGGTTGAGTGTATACCAGGTGAACATGGAAATACCTTGGAGAAAGGACTCATTGAAGGAAACAGCTTTTGAGCATGGCTTTCACAAAATGATGAAAAGAAATTCACTGTACAAAGGAGAGCAAACACTGGGGCTGTATGTGCTGGGAGCACCAAATGATTATTGGGATGGTAGAAGACTGTGAGAAGATTAGGTACAGAGTCCTAGATGAGAGAGGCAGGTATGAACATCCAGCTGGATTCGAGCTCTGTCCTTCAGGCAGTGTTTAGCCAGCAACATGACTGCTTGGGCTTTATATCTGCTGGTGACATTGGGATGAGAAGGGCTGGTAAGATCCCTTTGCATCTCCCACAGCCCAGTAGGCCCTGGGGAAGAGGGACACGTCAAATTAAGACTAGGTCTGAGGCTGCTCAGGGAGCTGTCTGTTGCAAGGAGGCCAGGAAGGTACAGATGGTTCTAGTCCTGTGAGTTGAGATTTGAGAGGGAAGGACATGCTGAGAGGGTCCTGGCCATGTGTGACACTGTGTACTGCTTGCCTTTCAGTTTGCATGACCAACTGCCCGACGCTTATTGTCATGGTGGGCCTGCCTGCCCGGGGCAAGACCTACATTTCTAAGAAGCTGACTCGATACCTGAACTGGATTGGTGTGCCCACTCGGGGTGAGGCTCCAAGGGGACACTGGGGACTGGTGAGGGAAGGGAAGGGAAAGAGAAGGCTGGACGGCCAGCAGGACCTGGGGAAAGGTCCTGGTCAGGAGTTGGTGAAAGGTCCTGGTCAGTCTGTGAAAGCTGAGCCTCTTTTTCCCCCCAGAATTCAACGTTGGCCAGTATCGCCGGGACATAGTCAAGACATACAAATCTTTTGAGTTTTTCCTCCCAGACAATGAAGAAGGCCTGAAAATCAGGAAGTAAGTGTGTTGGAGGATGGGCATTGCTCTTGAGGAGGCTGATAATTTACTGCTTATTTGCCAAGAAGCCCCCAGAGCTTCTGGAGCTGATCTGCTGGTGAATACCTGAGCTGCTCCTGAGTCCTGGCCCTGCCCTATCCCAATGCTGTGTGACTGGGCTGGTCTCTTGACCTCTCAGGTGGTGCTGGGTTTGATCTATGATGGGTTTGGGGATGAGAAGAAAAGATATGTAGTCTCTGAATGACTGACGCATAGGGTTGGTCCTGCTCTGGTATCAAGGACCCTTGTAAGGACATACTTACCTAGAGGGGAGCGGCTTAGCCAGGGCAGGGCAGGATTTGATGCTTGCCTACCCCAGGTTCTTCATGGTGGTGACTGCTGGTGGAGAGGGAAGCCCTAGAGGGTACAGGGATACAGGCCTCAGGGGCCTTTCATCTTCCCCAGGATTGGCCCCATCCTGAGTGTTTGGGGTATGTTTGCTATGTGCTTGGCATGTTTTTGTCATGTATGAACTAGGCTTTGGCTTTGTTTCGATGTGGCCTGGCTGCTGCTGGGTGAGTAGTTCACACTGCTGCTGTTAGGAGACTGATGGTCTGAGGAGTCATGGTGTGTTCTTTTTAGCAGATGTTACAAGGCTCAATCAGGAAGCCCCTTGCCAGCAGAGACTAGCTCTGGGCTCAGTCATCATGGTAGGACAGTAAGCAGAGGTTGACCTAGCTCTAGTAACTTCCCCAAATCAACCCAACTCCAGTGGCAAAGAACACTAGGCTGCCTCTTCTGTCTCTGGCCATGAGGGGGCAGGAGCTCTCCACTGTGGGCCTTGGACATTCAGGTCGTTCATGAATCTTTATGGCTGGGCCAGAATGAGAAGGGGAGTCTGACTTTCAAGTTTCTGTGGCCAAACTGTGGGTAAAACTCAAGACTGGGAACTCTGGCGATAGAAAGCCAGATAAAAAGGGAAAGGACTGATATTTTAATCTACTGTGTGCTGGGTGCTTGAGGCCAACTGATAAGTATTCACTCCCATTTTACAGGTGAGGTTTAGGGGGCTAGGGGTCTCACACAAAAGATCAAGTTACTTTGCATTTGAATCTAAATAACCTTGAACCTAAGACTGTTTACCACTAAAGCATCATTCAAGTATTACCCACTTAGTTAGTAGATCAAAGAACGTATCAAATGCAAATTTTAAAGCAACCCCAAGGTGTGGGCACTGATAGGTGAGTTCATTTAATCTTCCTGCAGCTTTCAGAGTGGGTGGTGGTGCCTCACTTTCCCAGATGCAAAGGCTGAGGTCAGAAGGTGATAGTGTTGAGGGGTCACTCAGTTTGAGTTTGAAGCCAGACTTGTCTGAATCCAAAGAATGGCAAGAGTAAGTGAGCTGGCATTCCAGAGACTGCCAGCCATTCTGTCTAGTCTTTTCCTCAAAGGATGAATATTGGGAGTAATTCAAATGGGGAAACATAGACTCAGAGGGATTGGGAAGCTAACTCAAAGTCACCCTGATGGAACAGAGAACCCCACAGTAGAAGCTGGGGGCAAGTTCATGTGCCACCTCTCTGTAGGTCACACCCTCTGCTGTTTCTATAAACAGTGCCATTTCCCCATTAAGTAACCCAAAGTTTCCTATAAACAATGGCAAAATAAAAGGACCAGAAATTTTAAAAGTGGAAAACCTGGGAAGAGAGGCCCAGTTACTCATACATAGTTGAGGTCCCTAAAGCCACACAATATTGAGGTATCTTTGACCCTGAACACAATGAAAGGTCTAAAAAATTCCATGACAGCCAGGGGTGAACATATAAAGGCACGTGGACACATGCACCATCAGGCACGTTCGTACTCCTGCATGTGGTCCCTTGCCACACACAGCCCTCTACGCACACTCTTGGGCACATATACACACATTCATAACTTGTATGTATACAGCTGCATGCATTCCCATATGTACATATGGGTGCGTTCCCAAGCATACTCAAGGTTCCCAAGACCACCCTCAGGTTGTGCTTTGCTTAGATGACTCCTGGGGCTTGGCATATAGCTGGACTCATGGCTAAGATTTATTACAGCGCACATGCAGCCACCCACCACACATGAAAGAGTGCACACACACACCTTGTAGACACATATGAGGGCACATACACACTGTGCTTACCCATGTGATATGCACACATACACATACCCAGCATGCTCATATATTTGCTTATGCAATCACATGCCTCACAAAGGCATGTGTACACATACCCCATGTGTGTGTACATAGGCACACATATATTATAAGCACACGTGTGGACACAAAAAAACCGTATACTCATGTACATAGGTACATGCACACACACACATCCTGTGTACACGCATTCATACCTGTGGTTATTCAGTCACATACCACACATGAGGGCCTGAGCATACATGGGCCCAGGGAATGCTCATACATGCACACCCAAAGAGTTACATGCCTGCACATGAACACAGCACACTCACACAGACCTGCCTGTTAATGGAGATGCATGCATATGTGCATCTGTTCACAGTCATACACACATGTGCACACAGGCTTCCAGGCTGTTCCCCACAGCACCTCCACTGTGGCCTTGAGATACTTCTACATGCTAGAGCCACAGCCAGAGCAGCCCACAAAAGATCTCAGCCCCGAACCTGGGGCTTTACATACAGGTGGTAAGAAGTGGTCCAGTAATACCAGTTTTGTGGACTCAGAACTCAGGGTTTTTGGCAGAAGAAGAAAGCACTTTAAGGCTTGAATTGAGAGGATCACAGGGAGGCACTGTCTTTAGACACTGGTGTCTCCATGCTTCCTGGCTGCATTGTGCTCTCACCTGTGCCTCCGCATTTCAGGCACAGTAGCCTCATGGGAGCCCGGACAGCAGAGTCCTTTCATGCACTGGGAGCTTATACATAAAGTTCAGTGATCAACAAATGGAAGCGGATCTAACTTTTCTCATACGTTGAAAAGTCAGGGTGGGGCTGGGAGTGTAAGTTAGGGTAGAACAATTGCCTAGCATGTGAAGGTCCTGAGTTCGATCCCTAGAACTATAAAAATAAAATAAAAAGAAAGGCAGTAGATTAAAAAGTTAAGGTAATTTATCTATCTCTAGACTTCATAGGAGAAATAAATTAAAATAGGAAAGATCCTTATGTGTGCCAATCCATTTTGCAGCAATGAATGAGAAGGCTGACATCAAAGAGAGTGCTGTCAGTGGTCTGTCATGGTGAGGGTTGAATGTCCTGCAGTGTCTGGGGATGTGGTGTGAGAGGCAGAGACAGTGGCACCCTCCTCCAGAAGGGCTGATTTGGGGAATTCTCTCTTCCAGAACAGTGAACATTAAGCCTAATGTAGCCATCATGTCTCTCCTCCCTGTCCCTGGCCTCTGACACTCACGCACACAAAGAAATGTCTAATTTCTTTTTCGTGTGTGTGGTACTGGGGTTTGAACTCAGTGCCTACACCTTGAGCCACTCCACCAGCCCATTTTTTGTGATGGGTTATTTCTAGGTGGGGTCTCGAGAACTATTTGCCCAGGGCTGGCTTCAACCTCAATCCTCCTGATCTCTGCCCTCTGAGTAGCTAGGATTACAGGTGTGAGCCACTGGTGCCTGGCTAGAAATGTCTAATTTTTAAAGTGCTTATTTTGATAATCACAGGGAGGGAATACATGACACTTAGAAATCATAAATATTGTAACATGGCAGCATGAATTTGTACACAGTGAGATGACAAGGGAAAATACAGAAAGGTGGGATTGAAAATAATTCCTAATGGCTAGGGGCACATAGTTTTCTACCTTACAGGGGAAAAGTTAGCCAAATACTGAAAATTATCCCAAGGAAAGAGGAAGAAATCTTGAAAAGAGAGGAGAGAATTAAGGGGCTGTCCCCTGTCCTGCTTTGGGTAGGGTGTGTTGCTATCTTCCTGCAGCCAGGGTTAGGTGTTGGCCTTACCCTCTATTTTTTCTCCCAAAGACAGTGTGCCCTGGCAGCCCTCTGTGACGTTCGGAGGTTTCTCAGTGAAGAAGGAGGACATGTGGCAGTGAGTGTGACATCCTGACAGTTGGGAGCAAGACATGGAAGCCCTACCTATATCTACTCTTTGCTTGTCAGGCACCTAGAAGGGAAGGCAGGGTGTGTGTGCCCTGCCCTGTGGATGCCCCTGAGTGCCAACCTGGGGAGGAAGTGTGCAGCAGCTACACAGAAGGAAGCCAGAGGCTGCATCTGGGCCAGGCGCTTCCCCCTGGACTTGTGGTTGCATTTGACCCCATGGGACTTCCCTAGAGAAGTCAGGGCTAGCACGATACCTAAGTCTTTGGCACATTTGATTTCTCCTGGTATGGCAAGCCCTACTTGGCATTTACTGCTGTTCTAATAACCAGCTGAGTCCTGGAAGTCCTGAGAAGGGGTGGGACAGGCTGAGCTAGGGTATCTGTGAGAAAGGGCCCTAGTTCAACCCTATACATTCGAACATGGGAACCATTCTCTTCCTTCAATTTCCCCTTGGAGTTGTGCCTCCTGGAGCTCACTGTCCTCCATCTCCAATCTTGATTAGTTGCCTGTGGCCAGCTGTCACCTGGGGACGTCCAGGGTTGACCATCCTGTTCTGGATCCCACAGCTTCCTGGCCTTGGTTTTACTGACTTGTTTTGTTGAAGCACATCTTCCAGAACCTTTAATGAGAAAGATGCTTGGGAAGTAAATTGTGTGAGGCCTTGCATATCAGAATGCCTTTTTTTAAACCTTCACATTTGGTTGGGTATAGAATCATAGAGAGAAGAACTTTTCCTTTAGAATTTCCATGACATTTCTGTGTTATCTAATGACTTCTAGTATGGTCATGGAGAAGTCTGATGTTTGGTTTGCTGGTCTCTTTAATAGTGTCATCTGTTTGGGGAGTCGGGACTTCTCATACTCCTTCCTCTTGGGAGGCTTTTAGGGTATTCAAGCCAGTACACCTTGTGGTGGGTCCTCCCTCCACCAGGTCAGGGAAATTATATATTGTTTCTCTGATAAACCACCTCTGTCACTGTCTGGCAACTCATTCCCCCATTCCCATTTTCTGAGCTCCTTTTTCTAGAATTCCCGGTGGCTGCGTATTAGACTTGATCCCTACTTAACATCTTGTTTCCCTCATTTTCTTTTGTTTTGTTTTGAGGCAGACTTTCTCAACATTATCTTATAAGTATTTGATTGATTTAAAAGATATTCAGTAGTCAGACCTTTAGTTTCTTGTTCTCTGAGTGCTCCAATTTCTAGAGCTCTGTTCTTGTTTTGTGGTTACTATATCCTTTTGTATCCTCTTTGCATAATAATTGTAATGTTTGGGGGGTGTTTTCTTCTATTCTATGTTCTGATTTCACTTTCCCCCAAGTTCCTTTTTTCAGTTCTCGTTAGAGGTTTTGCTGGTGTGTCCAGTGGGCTCTGGTTGGATGCCCCGTTTAAAAAGTGACCCTGTGAGCTGGGGTAATGGCTTAAGAGGTAGAGTGCCTACCTAAAAAGTGACTCTATAAAAGCTGCTTGAACATTGCCTGTATGGGGCAGGGTAGGAGTGTGTGTTGAGCAGACCCTAGGCACTTCACAAGGAACCCCAGTGGGTCAGTGCCTGGTTAGATGGATGGAGAGGTGGCCTGGGGCTCTAACTGCTCTTGTGTTTGACCTTGAGCCAATCCTCCTATTTCCCCTCCACCCCTTGTCCCTTTATTCAGAGAAGTCCATTTCCTGACTGTCCCAGTCCTGCATAAGTAGGTATGCTCCAGCGGTGAGCGCTTACATTTGGTTTTCTTCATTTCTCTGAGTTAGTCACCACGTGTCCATCTTACCCCATTTTACTGGGGCCTCAGTATGGAGTGGAAATAAATGTTAGTTCAGTTCACCAATTGTATTATATGGTTTTTTTTTTATTACTATAGCAAAGTACTTGAGGCAGAGTAACTTTATAAAGAAAAGTTTATTTAGCTGACAGTTTTGGAGGCTGAAAGTTCCAACCCTATTGATTGGCATTACAGTGGGAGCCCATGTGACAGGAAAGAGATCCTGGATACAGGAAGCCAGATAGTTGGGTGGACCAGACTTGTTCTTTTTATAATAACTTTCTCAGGAGAACTACTGTAACATGAACCTTGGGGGCAACCACATCCAAACCATAACACCAGGCATGATGGACGTCACTGGAATTCCTCTTGGAATTTCAAACGTGAACTGAGCACTTACTGTGTGCAGACAATTGCTGAGTACATCCCTCTGTGCAAGTCATGGGAGACTAGCCAGCTGTAACCTGGGCAGTAGCTAGTCCTGGCAAGAAATCCAATCCCCAGAGCTGCCTGTGCCACAGCCCCAAGGTGTCCTGTTACCTTCTCCCCTCAGATCCAGAGGCTCAGTTAACCCCAGTTTGATCCTAGGTCTTTGATGCAACCAATACCACTCGAGAACGAAGAGCAACCATCTTTAATTTTGGGGAACAGAATGGCTACAAGGTAAGGCCTCCTTGGCTCCCCTCCGTGGTTGGGTTGTGTTATATTTGGGCCCCCTGGGGCTCCTTTCACAGCCTTATGATGCAGAGAGTCTTCCTAAAAGGCATCACATGTGGGCTTTGTGCTGGCCTGATTTCTGAGTGTAATTTGGGATGCGAGCAACTGTTCTTTCATTTGCTCCTGGGATTTTCTTTCCAGAGGAGAGGAGGGTATAGTGGGAGAGCACAGGATAGGGTGGTACCACCTTTAGCTCTATGATCCTCCACCTTCTCCCACCCCTGAAAAAGGGCCTCAAGGCCTGGCTGCAGATCAGCATGGCCCTCATTGAAGGGGAGCACTTCGTGGAGAAAGGCCAGAGCCCTCACCATGTTTGTGGTTCCCTCCCTCCTGTTTGACCGGATGCTTCTGCTCCTCACTGCAGACCTTTTTTGTTGAATCCATCTGTGTGGATCCTGAGGTCATAGCTGCCAACATCGTGGTGAGTGGTGCATCTGACCTCATGGGGGCAGTCATGAGACAGAAGGTGGCATGTGGCAGTGAGATCCCTCTCAAGGTTTGGTGTGGTGCCTGGGCTAACCTTTATGGCCTCTGAGGATCACTTGTGTGGAGGCCTGTGTGGCTCATGAGCCTTCATTCTTGCTACTTCCTGTACTTGCCCTCTCCCTTCTCCTCCCTCATTCCATTTCCTCAGTGGAAGAGGAGCTTCATCCAGGAGTGGGGGGGAGCATTTCTGTTTGAGAGACGGACTTGTTGCCCATTCCCACCCCACCCCCTCCCCCATTTAAGGAATGACTACTGGGCTTGGGAGATGGTCCAGCGTGGAGAAAGGGTTCTAGGCCTCCCGAGCCACAGAGATGAGGGACCACTATCTCAGGGCACTAGTGAGCAAGCTCAGCCAGAGAACTACTGGACTCATCCCAGTGGGAGCAGTTCCCCAGGTCAGCTTCTGGCCTCAGCTCTCAGCTCTGGCTTGGCCTCTGGCCCAATCTCTACAATCCCCTGCCCAGCTATCTCCTGGCTTTCTGGCCCCGCTTGGCCTCCAGCCCTAATGTGTACTTCCTTTGTGCCTGGCTCTGGCAGCAAGTGAAGCTGGGCAGCCCTGACTATGTCAACCGGGACAGTGATGAGGCCACAGAGGATTTCATGAGGCGCATTGAATGCTATGAAAACTCGTATGAGTCACTGGACGAGGATTTAGACAGGTGAGCATGGACAGCATTGCGACCTGTAGCTATAATGGGTGGGTGGTGGGTGTCCCACTTGGCTGCCTCCTTGCGGCTCCCTGTGGTGGTTGGAGGACCACACCAAAAGGCAGAGATTGTCTCACCTTGTTTGTTTCTTTCCTTGGGGCGGAAATCGTTGGCCAGAGGTGACTTGCAGAACACCTGTTGCCTCATCTGGAACTCTGCGAGTCAGGATTTTCTACTATTCTACCATAAAATCAAGCCTAATTTCTATGCAGAGAATCTTCTCAAAAGGCATCTGCAAACATTTCATGCTCTTCTTTCAATGTGCAGTCTGCAGGGTTGATGGAGAGGGGGCGGGGTGGTCAACTGCCTATGAACAGTAGGCAATGGTCAGTGGTTGCCAGCTCCACCTGCCTCCCTCTGGAATGGAGGAGGAACAGGCACATTGAGTGGCCAGCGGTGTTTAGATCCATAAGGGGCATCCAGCTGAGTGTCTTATAGCTGAGGCCAGAAAACATTCTCTGTAGAGGTCAGATAGTGCATATTTTATTTAGGCTTTGGAGGCTTCACAGTCTCTGTTGCAGTTACTCACCTCTGCCATTGTTGTGTGTAAATAAATCGTTGTGAGTGTGTTTCAATAAAACCTTATAAAAACAGCCTATGGGCTGCATTTGATTTGCTGGCTATAGTTTGCCACCTCCTGCCTCTCAGCATAAATGGGGCAATGGTTAAGTAAATAACAGTGTAGCTCTTAAGAAACTATCACACAGTCACTCTAAGGCATAGTTATGGAGAGACATGGGAGATGTATGTTGCACAGCATTAAGTGAAAGGCTAGATATAAACACGTGTTTGCGTCCTCTGTAATTATGAAGAGTATGCACGTGAACCAAGGAACACAGGCAACTGCTTAGAGAATGGTTTTCCCTGAACTGGACCTGGGCTAAGCCATCTTTCCTCCCTCTGCAGGGCTCTGGAGCAAGCTCAGGTGGGGCTAGAACTAAAGAGCACTTGGGCTTCTTCATGGCTTTCATTTTCCCCCTGGTCTCCCCAGCACGCATTTCTCCCATTGTTCTGTGATGTGCTTGTCTGAAGCAACCCTTGATGGACTCGTCAGCAAGCGTTCTCCTGTTTATTTTGGTGATGTCGGGGTAACAACCCTAAATCGATGCCCCATGGTCCAGACAGTGAGAACTCCAGGGGGCTTTCAGGTTGAATCACAGCCCATCCCCACACCTGCCAATATGAGCTTGATCTCCAAGCTGCAGCACTGCACAGGTACAAAGCAGAGAAAGTGACTGAATTGGGTTTAGTGGCTGCTGTCACTAGCATCCCCCCTGTGCTTCTTGTCCACTAGCTGACTGGGAGGTGTGGCAGTGGCCTGGCACACACAGATAACCTGGACTGCATTCTTGGGAGAGGGTGTCAATGGAGGAAGGAAAGCTGAGCAGGAAGCATGGGGGCAGTACAAAACTGTCTCTTGGTCTGATCTCAGAGGTAGGCAAGAAAGGGCCTGGGGAACATACGAGCAAGTCACGATGTAATATGTGTGGCCACCACTCTCATGTTACTTTTGAAAGCATGATGAATATTGAGCACCTCTCACAGGGCTTGTCTGCATGTCACACGTGGTACGTTGCTCTTGCTTCACCCCCATCCCTCATACACCAGCTGATGGTTCTCCGTGTTGTGATCTCAAGCCTAGTGATCAGAGATGCAAGGCCTTGCAGCTGGTTCCTATGGTTGGCCAGATGTGCCCTGCAAAGGCTGTGGCCACACTCACAGGCTCTTTCTGCCTTCTCTCTGGAAAGGGACCTTTCCTATATCAAGATCATGGACGTGGGGCAGAGCTATGTGGTGAACCGTGTAGCTGACCACATCCAGAGTCGAATCGTGTACTACCTCATGAATATCCACGTGACCCCCCGCTCCATCTACCTCTGCCGGCATGGGGAGAGCGAACTCAACCTCAAGGGCAGGATCGGTGGGGACCCAGGACTATCCCCCCGGGGCAGAGAGGTCAGTATGTGTGTGTGTGCCTGTGCATTGGTACCTCTGGGCGATTGGATAAATGTGTGCACTGGGCTTGGGCTTCTGCTCTTGTAGCTAATGTGTGTTAAGGTAGATGACCTTCATTTAGTCAAGAATGTTACTGTTCTGTAGGGAAGGTCATGAGGCACCAAGCAAATGCCTGGATCTCTGCTCTACATGTGAGCAGTCATCAGCTGAGTCCTTTTCCTAGCAGTTTGTGATTTTTGCTAACTCTGTGTTCTCTGAGGCTGGTGTGACCCCAATCGATACTATGGCTGTGGGGTCCTTTGGGCAGCCCAGTACCTGTGGGTTTGAATTTGTTTGCAATGTGTTTCAGTTTGCCAAGAGTTTGGCCCAGTTCATCAGTGACCAGAACATCAAGGATCTGAAAGTCTGGACAAGCCAGATGAAGAGGACGATCCAGACAGCCGAGGCGCTGGGTGTGCCCTATGAACAGTGGAAGGTCCTCAACGAGATTGATGCGGTAATTGCTATCCCTTCTATCCCTTGCTCTTCTCCTGGGCACAGTGCTGAGGGCCAGTGAAAACTTTCTGCTTCACTTGCTTCTTTGTGCTTTGATTCCTCCCTCCTCTTCTTTTGCATTTAAACTGTTAGACCAACCATTTATTTTGATGTTCTGACAAAAACCTTAAATCTGGTCTTTCCTCTGTTAACTCATTTATCTATAACTATTCTTTCTTGTCAATTTATTTTACTTACTTTTATATTAAGTTCTTATATATGATAGGTGTATGTGTTCATATACCAGTATCACGTTGTTTTAATTATGGTAGTTCTGACTATGTTTATTGACCATTTGGGTATCTTTTTTTTTTCAAAAAAGCCCTGGTTTAAACTCAGGGCTTACACACTTGCTAGGCAGGTGCTCTACTTCTTGAGTCACACCTCCAGCCTCCCGTTTGGATATCTTATGTGAGGTATTCTGAATCTGATGCATACCTGGTAATTTTTGATTGAGTGTGAGACATTTTGTAAGAATAATTATGGAGATAATTTGAGGCTCTAATTAATGTAATCTTCCTCTGCAGGATTTACTTTTGCTTCTGGCAGGCAGTTAGTGTTAGATCGCCTTAGTTTCATCAGCGATAGAGCTCTTTCAAAGTGGCGCTTTGATCTTTGTGAAGTCACTTGATTTTCAGGTCACTCCTACTCCAAGTCTTTAAAGTTCTTATGGAAAACTCTGAGCTCCAATCACCATCATCTCCGCCTCATTTTTTTTTTTTTTTTTTGTCTCCTCAGCCCAAGATTGCCTACAGCTTTGCCAAGCTTCTGCCCACTTACTTCCTACTTTCTGCAACTTTGGTATCTCACTCAAGACCTACTTTCAAATTGGCAAAATCTTAAAGGAAAAATTGATGCTATGTAGCAAATTTTATCTTTTTTTTTTTTTTTGTCAGTACTGGGGTTTGAACTCAGAGCACTTGCTGGCACACTTGATATGCAGGCACTCACTGTACCACTTGAACCACTCCACCACTCTTTTTTATGTTTTTGTGTTGGGTTTTTTTGAGATAGGGTCTCTTGAACTATTTGCTCAGGTAGGCTTCGAACCACTATCCTCCTGATCTCTTTCCCCCGAGTAGCTAGGATTACAGGCATGAGCACCAGAGCCTAGCTCACATTAAAACTTTTTTCTGTCTGGCTTTTCTAGCTGCTTTTACTTGGTTTATTGAAAGAAGCTGGCTTTTCAGTACCTGCAGTAGAGATCTTGGATTTGATCTTAGAAACATAACCCTAATTCATGTTGAGTTTTGTTGGGATGATGTAAGGAATAAGCTGGAGAAGAGAGACTGGTCGGTGTGCTTATAGTGGCCTGGTAAGGTGATGAAAGACACAACTTGGGTGGTGACAGTGGGAGAAGAAGGAGTGGATGCATTTGTGGGATGTTTATTCTTCACACATTCATGTGAGTCAGCTCTCTGCCAGGAACTGTGGCCAGGTTCTGAGAACCAGGATCCCGGTAGAGACGTGGTGGAACTTGTGAGGGTAAAAGAGAGAGGAACATCCAGGATGATTCCTGTTTTCCAGCCCCTGGGACAGGTTCTGGAGCAAGAGAGCTCACCTGAGGACAGGAATTATATCTACCTTACTCACCATTTACTGAACAGGTAAACACAAGCTGAATGAGAGGAAGAAATTCCTGGAATTTCAAGTACAGATAACCAGGATGTGGGCTCATCTCTGAGGAGAGGATAGAGCTTGGCTATCCCTCACAGGTATGGAAGTTGAAACTGGAGTGAATGAGGTGGCAGAGGGAGGGAAAGCAGGCCCAGGACAAAGTCCTTTTGAGCCCCAGAATTTAAGGATTATGGAAGAGGCTTTAGATGTGCATCCAATAAGACAGAAGGAAAACCAGAGGGTGGGGATCTTGGAAGTCAAGGCAGAGAGAAGGCAGTTGTCAGTGAGGCATGATGAGTGTAGTGGGATGGGGGATTGATGTGTCCAGGGTAGGGGAGTGAAGCCAACATCCAAACACCTCTAGGGTGTCACATGTCATGGAGTTCTTGGTATGAGTCTGGTGGTGTTGGTGCCCAGTGGAGTGAGTGGGATGCAAGGGGGCTCAGAGGTGAAGACTTGACCATTCTGAACTGACAATGTGAAGCTGGTAGAAAGAGAGAAAGTGAGGGTTTAGGGGGGCCCTGAGAGGCACTGGAGGCCCAGATTCCTGGGTGTCAAGAGGGAGAGTGGTACATGTGAGCCCAGGGAACTTCTCCTTCAGAATCTCCCTGATTAGTCACAGTCAACAGAAAATCTGCAGCAATGGTGCTGGGGATCAGACCATGGCCTCACACATACTAGTTAAGTGTTCTACCACTGAGATATATCCCCAGCCCCCAAATTATTTTACTCTAGTAATTTTTAGGTGATTCTCTTGGGTTTTCTAGAGGCGTTATCATCTGAAATAAGGATAATCCAGAATTTTTGCCTTCCCTTTTTTTTTTGGCGGTTCTGGGGCTTGAACTCAGGGCCTACACCTTGAGCCACCCCACCAGCCCTTTTTGGTGAAGGGTTTTTTTTTTTGATAGAATCTCTTGAATTTTTTGCCCAGGCTGGCTTTGAACCTTGATCCTCCTGATCTCTGCCTTCTGAGTAGCTAGGATTACAGGCATGACCCACTGGTTCCCAGCTTGCCTTCCCAATTTATGTACCTTGTGTTTCTGTTTCATATTATTGCATTGTCAAGAATACAGAAAAGCAAATCGGATGTCCTTGTCTTGTTCTATTTGTTTGGTTGTTTTGGTGGTATGGGAGATTGAATTTAGGGCCTTCACACTTGTATTCTACCTCTTGAGCCATGTCCCCAGTCCTTTTTACCTTTTTAGTTTTTCAGATAGGGTCTTGTGCTTTTGGCCCAGGCCTGCCTTGGACTGCCCTGGACCTACCTCTGTCTCCAAAGTAGCTGAGATTATAGACATGAACACCCATGCCCTGTTTTTTGTTTTGTTCATAAGGGGTCTGCCCCTCAGATTTTGTCTTTTGGAATAGTGTCAGGACTGAACTGATCCTGTTTCTGATTTGTCATCAAACTTTATTATAGAAATTTTCAATTATAAATAAAAAACAAAGAGAATATTATGATGAATTGTTATATCCAATACCAATTTGAAAATGTTCACATGTGGCTGTCTTGTTTTAACTACCCCATCACCTTCCCTATGGTTTTATTTATTTATTTATTTTTTTTTTTGTGGTACTGGGCTTTGAACTCAGGGCCTACACCTTGAGCCACTCCACCAGCCCTTTTTTATGAAGGATTTTTTTCAAGATAGGGTCTCATGAACTATTTGCCTGGGCTGGCTTCAAACCTAGATCCTCCTGATCTCTGCCTCCTGAGTAGTTAGGATTACAGGCGTAAGCCACTAGTGCCTGGCATTGGTATGGTTTTCTTCATGTTTATCCTGCTTGGGGTTCATTGAGATTTTTAATTTTTGAGTTTCTAAATAGAAAATTTGAAAAAAATGTTAGCTATCATTTCTTCAGATATATTTTCTACTACCCTCTTTCTCACCTGGATTTCAGCAGTATGTATTAGCCTGCGTGGTATTATGTCACAGGTCACTGAACTGGGGTTTTCTTTTTGTTCATTTGATTTGGCTTCTGCTCATTTTTCTTCCTGAGCTTTAGTTTGCTGTATTTTTAAGTTACCCTTAGTTCTGCTTTTTTTTTTTGACCTACTACTGCTTTTGGGAGGCAGGGTCTCTGGACCCCTTAGTTGGGCCTTTTTTTTTTTCACCATCACAGGCTTCCGGCTGCTGCAGATGGTGGCTGGCTCTGGGCACTGCTCCTTCTTGTGGATTATGTACCTGAAGTCGTTACCATCAGGGGAGGGTAACTGGCTTCTGCTGGCTGGATCTCTGCTTCATAACCAGCACGACTCCTTTGCCCTCAGCCTCTCTTGCCTTAGCCTTAGCCCATAGTCTTGTGGTGAATTGGCCCACTGCAGTGGAAGGAATCCAGTCTTCAGGTCACTGGGGTTGGTACTGTAAGGTATTTTATTCCTTCGATCGGGAAACAAGAGGCTCAGCATAACCATCCATTGCAGACGAGGCTCCTCTCTCTGCCATGAGCCTGAAAGGCAGTGCTGGGGATTCAACTCAGGGCCTTGCCCTGCTTGGCAAGTGCTGCACCACTGAGCTACATCCCCAGCCCTTGGCTTATTTCACTTGGCATACTGTCCTCAAAGTTCATCCATATTGTAGCATATGTCAGAATTTCCTTGCCTTTTAAGGCTGAATTATACACATTTTGACTATCCATTCATCTGTCGATGAGCACTATGGTTGCTTCCAGCTTTTTTTTTTTTTTTCTGGCGGTACTGGGGTTTGAACTCAGGGCCTCACGCTTGCTAAACAGGTGCTGTACCACTTGAGTCACTCTGTCAGCCCTTGCTTCCACCTTTTCACTATTGTGAGTAATACTGCTGTGAAGATAAGGGTACAGATATAGCTTGGATACACTGCTTTCAACTGAGCTGTTTTTGATATATAACTGGAAGTGGAATTGCTAGATCATGGGGTAGTTCTGTCTTTGTTTTTTGAGGAACTGCTACACTGTTTCCCATAGCAGCTGCCATTGTACCTTGCCACCAAGGATGCACAAAGTTCCACATCCTTGTTAGCACTTGTTATTTTCTAAGTATTGATTCTATCTATCCTAATAGATGTGAAGTGATTTTTCATTTTGGTTTTGATGGGCCATCCTACTTTTTGTCCACGTTTTTTATGTTTCCCCCTTTTTGCTTTTAAACTCTTTGTGTCATTTCTTTACATGAAAGGAGTATACATATACATACTCCATTGAGGGATCTAAAACCATTTTTTTTTTTTTTTGGTGGTGCTGGGGTTTGAACTCAGGCACTCTAGGTCTGGAGCCACACTTCCAGTCCATTTTGCTCTGCTTATCTTGGAGATGGGCTCTCCTGAATTATTTGTCCAGGCTGGCTTCAAAATTTGATCCTCCTGA